GGGGGGGAGGGGGGGGGAGGGGGGGGGATGAGGCACCAACGGGTTTCATGCGTGTTGCCCGTGTTGCCAGTTGCACAAGTGCTCCCGCCCGGTGCGATGTTTGGGTAGACGTAGGACACAGCTATTTTTAGCCCTTGGGGTGAAGATGTCTCAAAACCTTTTCGTACAGTTCGATGTTTGGGTAGATTACGACACAACTACATATAGTCCTTGGGCGAAGATTCGCATGCCTCACAATGTTCTTATAGAGGTTTAGGATTAGGGCTAGTTTTAAGACCTACATTTCGCTCCTTGAGACTGCAAGCTTTTCCTACGGCCACGGGAATTATTTCCTAAAAGGAACACCTATCTACCCACAACGATGAAATAGCTCACGTTTGTTTGAGCTCTTGGAACTTTTCCTGGAAAACTCCTCCGCCTTGCTGTGCTTTCTCCCTCGCCTTCTCCGCCTGCTTGACAAACTCACCCTGGGATGGAGAAGGTATCAACCCCCAGGCGCACACAGCGGCGGTTGCAGAACAAACGCATGGGAGTGATGACAGCAGGAACAATGATAAGCTTCAAGAACACGAGCTTGCGCAGTCGAACAGGCTTCGCCCCCCGTTCTCCGATCAGCATAAATCAGTCCAAAGTGAAGTGAGGGATTGACGCCAGCCAGCTTCATATTTGTATGATACGGTCCGTCCGATATGACCGCTTCATCGAGTCAACTTTCGATTTTTTTCCCGTCACATTATAACAGGGATCACAGCATTTCTGCCTCCATCCGCGGAACGTTGGAACCGAACAAAGGAAATACTTTCGTGTGTACTTCCATTCCTTCAATGCAACCTCGGCCCGTGTGAGCCCAACCACACCGAAAGGTTAGGCTGACCTCCGGCGCTAGCAACGCATGATGTGTACCTGCTTGCTCTTTGCGTCCTTTCTCCACTTCTTCTCCGCATCCTTGAGCTTGGACAAGTTTTCCTGGACGCTGGGGTTCTCCCTAAACTTCTTCTCGGCCTCCTTGAGCTTGACTAGGTTCTCCTTCACGCTAGGGTTTTCCCTGAGCTTCTGCTCGGCATCCTTAAGCTTGGACAGGCTCTCCTTCAGGCTCGGATTCTGCAAAGTGATTGATCGGCGGATTGGCAGGGGATTTGATGTCGTTGTAAGGGAAGGTTCAATGACGCCGCCCGATATTTTACTACTGGTACAGCAGTAGTACAGAGTTGTAAGGTTATATTCGGCGAATGACACCTTGATTCGACGAATCCGATGTCAAGGTTCGAAGGACCTTTGGTGTCATATCGTACGTTGCTCGTTGCTCGCGCCTTTGCGGATATGTTCAAAAGGCATTTTTGCATAGTTTCTGGAAGGGGCTGAACGTCAAGGGGTGCGACATTTTCCGCATGTTACTTGCCGTCAGGGACGAACTCCAATCCGCCGGCTCGTCCACACACCCTCCTCTGCTGTACTGTGTATGTGTTGTGTGTTTTCGGCCTATTTATTATGGCGACAGTCCCCCCATTTTTCGTGGTGAGACGTGTACTACACTTTTCAGCGTATGTAGAGTACTAGACTACACTTTTCAGTGTATTTTCTCGTACAGCTACAACCATCCAGGGTCACACAGGAGGGGGTAAACACCAGGGCTTTTTTCTTCTTTATACATATTTCTTTTCATGCCCCACCTTCCTCCTGCGGTGCGTGCTGAATTTTATTTTTATCGCGAGAAGGGTCCAGCCGTCCCTTTCCCTCGTCAACGGTGCTAACGTCGAAGTTTGGTACTCACGAGAACTTTTCAGATATATTTCGCTTTCACCCGCAAATTTCGTAAATTTTTCATCCCATGAGGATTCGAACTCACGACCTTTGCGACTAATAGCGGATTACGAGGATACCGCTAGACCACCGGGGCGACCGGTGTCCTGCAAACCAATGGAGCGATCCGAACAAAGGACCAGAATACGTGTTTTTCACATCTTTGTTGTCCGGTAGGGAAGACTCGAACTGTGGCGTAGGTGTGCTGCAGCCAAACTACTGCTGTACTGCAACGCGCAGTGTGATGCTCCTACCATTCGTTTCCAGAAGAGCATGTACTATTCACAACAAGCGGTTGTTACTTTTTTTTTTTGCTTAATATGACACAACGAATCCGTCTCTATCTAGTCTTAAGAAACATTTCATCCTCTGTAAACAGCAGTTACAAACCCTGATGCAAAGCACAGTACAATACAATCAGAGGTCACCGTCGTAGCAGCAGTGAAAGCAGCAGTAGTAGCAGCAGCAGTAGTGGCAGCAGCAGCCGCGCTCACCTTCTCTATCTCCTCCGTTAAGGTCTTCTTGAGGCGGTCAAACATCCCTTCCTCGTCTCCGCCCTTGCCCTTCCCACTAGAGCCAGATGCCAGACCTCTCCACTGCTGCACCTGCGTCACCGACGCTGCTGGTGCAGGCCCGACGTGCGGCCCTCTTCGCCGATCAACCTGGATCCATCGGGATAAGTTCGCTGATCGCTGCTGCTCCGTGGTGGTGGTGTTATTGGCGAAGGTGTTGGTGGTGATGCCTCGGACGAGGGCGGGCGGCGGCGCGACGTTGTCGTGCGGTCCAGATGGGACCACCAAGCCCCTTGGCCGAATTGAGGATGGTCTGATCGCTCTCGTGTAAGCTGCTGCCGGTTGACGGAGAGAACAGGCCTTACGCGTGGAGCTATGCCGTCCTAGTCGCAGCATCGTGTGCAACCACGCTCTCCGTCCCTTGCGTTTGCCTGCTGCACAGCAGTGCGTGCAGTGCCGCATCTGTCATTTCTCTGTGGGGGGACGGACGATGGTGCTGTTTTTTTGCGGGGAGGACGTAGACCACGAGGCCGGAAGGCGCGAGCAGGCACCAGCATCAGCAGCACGTGTTCACCACGCTGCTGGTATCAGGTGTCAGAGCCACCCGTCGTGGTTAACTCCGAAGTCAGGCATAGCGTCCGCAGGGGACCGGGAATCTCTATTGTCTGTGTTTTAACGGCTCCGAGATTCCACAGAGGACTTGTCTTTCACCTCTTCAATCAGCGGGGGCCGACTCTGGTTGCAGTGGAGGCGGGGCCTCTCCGTGCATCCAGCATCGAACCTGGTGTATCCCCAGCACTCAACCGGACGCTCGTAGTTGTTGCGGGAAACTCCGGCAGATGGCGCCGATACCCAGGAGACGATGGAACGGTAGTGCAGCAGCAGCGAGGCTGGTGCTAGGCCTTGTTTTGTTGTTGACGGTCATGGGTCCCACTGGTGCGTCTCTCTTCAAGCGGAAACGGACGAATAGCAAGGAAGTCCACCCTTCCGGAGGTGTCCCATTCGGCAAGGGCGGCAAGGGCGGCAAGCGTGGGAAGGTGAGACTGCGGTGTGTGATGGAGAGGATGAGGATGCTCGATACCCCGTCATCTGTTTCAACCAGGTTCTGCTGTGTCTCTGTGTATGAATCATGAACGTCCCTGTGGTATTCTGTGTTCAACGTGGGAGTTTCGGCACCTTTTCCCTGCCCGTCTCGTCATGTGATTTGGGTCCCCCGGTGTACTGCTGTACGAACTTTCCGCCCGCCGGCGCTCTCGATTGATTGATGCTGCCCGCCGTTTTCACAGGTTAAGGAAGACGTTGCGTGGCTACTAGAGGACACTAGTGATGGGGGTTGGAAGCCGGTTAGGGATGACGGCCATGTTCAGGTGTGTCCGCTGTCAAACCTGGAACACACACGTGTTGCAAGGGGGGAGCTTCCGAGGCCCTCCTTAACCCTTGTGTGGCGGGCTGCTTGGCGCTTGGCATTGATTTGTCTTCGAACGCCTGAAGTAACGTGATAAACTACAAACAACGCCAGATCACACAAGACGCGCGCATGTGTAAACTGCAACAGCAACAATCCCCTGTTTTCACCGCAACCTCAGTGTCATGCATCCCACGTTGAGTTATCATGTTCCTATAATTCAACCACAATGTCAAAACGGTGTTGACACCAACGCGTACAGTATTTGGTTTCGTTCATCCATTGCACCGCATGTCCATACCTAAATGGTATGGTTTGGCAGGAGTTTGGCAAGTTTTTGTTGATGTATTGGGCGCCATCTTCCTCGCACTCCCGGCACCCAACACGGCAAAACAAGTGAACCCCCCCGCACACCGGCGGGCATCAGTTACACAGAGCCGCAACTCCGCCACCAAGCGCCTCCGCAAGTGAAGCACCGACACTACGAGCCACAGCATCTTCGTCCTCAGCCTGCTGAAGAACTCCCGCTTTCCACGGCGCTCGTCACTCGTCAATACCAAAGGGACTACCGCGATGACGGCTTGGGCCCTTGTGTTGTTTGGTCATGATCTCGTCGATCTCATCCACACGAGGATCAGGCAGTTGGCTGAAGCTGCTGATGCCGTTGAGTTTCTGGTAGTTGACGGTGGTTGGTAGCCCTCCCGGTTTCTTAGATGATCTACCATCTAGAAAAGAAAAACTTCAAGTGCTCCTCCGAGGCGATCAGACGATCAAACTCGGACGGAACAGCAGTGTGTCTAATGGGGCCTCCTTTGCTGCTCATATCGAGCGGTTGTTGACTTCAGCGCCTGTTTTGCATCTCCCTGACTTGGAATGCCTTTTTGCTGTGAAGACAACAACAACAACAACAACAACAACAACAACAACAACATCAACAGCAACAACAACATTTTGGTAGGGAATCCCACGAGCAGCGAACGCTCCCCGGCGCTGGCCTTGCGGACCCTGCGTCAACGGAATTCCTTGGAGACACGGTCTGCGCGTTTTTTCGTTGTTAGAAAAGGGCACAGAACGTGCCTGTGAGGCGTCCCGTTACGCGACGTCCGCGAGGTCAGCGCCGGGAAGCATCCGCTGCCCGTGGATCGAATCGGCGGAACACGTCTCACAACCGGAACTATAGACAAATTCGGTTCGGACTCACTTTTGTTTTTCCGGACCGGAATAAGGAAACAGATTTGACTCAGACCATCGTTCTGAGGATTGTTCCTGACAGTCTCGCCAGAACCCACAACAAGGAGGACTTTTTTCCGCAGCAAGAGCTGAGGGAGGCTCATTTTGTTGGAAATTGTAGTCGTATTTTGTGGGTTATCAACTTCTTCGATTTAACACACCAGGCACCACGCACACACACCAGCTGACACAGGCACAGTCTGCTCAAGGAACATGTCGAATCTTTCAGCGGGATGAATACGTTGCTATTTGACCACGCGGTGTGCAGGTGTGGAAGAGATCTATGCCCAACAGCGATTTTGTTGCGATCAAGTCGAAGGCATCCTTGGCGGTTTCGCCGCAGGCCTTGTTTGAGGTCCTCACGCCCGGGGACATCGAGATCGTCAGACAGGTGAGACGTGACTACGCTACCGGCACTTGCGACATCTCTCTCAACGTCAATCGCTCCTGTGTCACAGGAACGCTTTGTGTTGCGGGTGCCAAAGTGAAAGGCGTGCTGGCATGCGTCTCTTTAGAGTAGTTTTCAAGACTTGTTCGCGAGGTACGTGAACGAAGCAATGAGCTCGTCAGCTACCGGTCGCGCTTAACTGTGGCAGCGGTAGACCTTCCTCCTGCTGTGGATAGATTAAAATACAACATTGTTTTGCGAGAGACGCTTTCTCGTTGCTTTGAACGCTCTCGGCGCCCACTTTTTCTGCTGTCAGCGTTAACCTCGGTTCCTGCCACCCCTTGCCGCATCTACAGTACAACCCTTTGGTCGAGGATGGCATTGATCTTGAGGTGATAGACCGGGACAACAAGGTGTCCTGGAGCGCGACGATGGGAATCTGGCCCTGCCGCCCCAGAGACTTTGTGACGCACATCCAGAGGGCCACCCTCGAGGACGGTAGCGTGGCGATAGTTAACTCTGCTACCTCACACCCTAAGGTAGGGCGCGGTGACAATTTCGTCGTAACGCGGATTTGAGCGCCATTGTTACCTTTGTTCTTTGTTCGCCCACGTTCGTTTCTCTGTGGCTCACCCCGATTGTCTTCGATACCTTCGCACGCATATCTTCACGTTCGATACGTGCACACGGTCGTCCTTTTCAATGAAATATCATCTCGTGTGGGTCATGCTTACGAAGAGCGGCGTCGCGTGTGTCCATCTGTCCAAAGCCTGGCAGTTGGCTCATTATAGGTCTCTACCGATGCTATGTGCGCTTTGTTTACATACGCCGGCGTTTTTCGTTGTGGATGCTGTCACGCGGCCGCTCTCTGAATGCAAAAGGCCCCAGTAGGTGAGAAGTACGTCCGCGGGGAGATTTTGCACGGCGTGTTCCACATCAAGGCGGCGAAGAACAAGAAGCACTCCGAGTTCACCATGGTGCACCACTTCAGCCCGGGCGGAAACATACCTCCCTGGCTGATGAACTGGCTGGCCGAAGGAAAGCCGATTACCTTCGTGAGAAAGCTCGAGGAAGTGGCGAAGAAGTGGGATCAGCAGGCGGCGCTTACCAAGAGCATGCCCTGCAAGGGAAGGGGATTTGGTGAGACTCGTCGGTGGGGGGGGGGCTGGCATTTTTTGCGGGGCAACCAAGTAACTGGAACGCGCCGAGTGTGTGATGCACCGTTGCATGGTTGATTTAGGTGGCAGTATAGATTCCGAGGATGCATACGGATGTAGTTGTACCCAAGCAACGCGTGCAGTTTTTGTTGAGTTGCGCTGCGTGCTGCACCAGCGACGTCCTTTGTCGTACCCTCGTGGCCACTCGCCGCACGTCGGGGTGTCTGACGCGTCGGCACTACTGTGCTTTCCTACAGCACCTCATCGTCAAGCCCACTACACGCAAGTGGCCAATGGTCTAAACAACCAAGGAAAACAGTAGAAAGCCTCGGACTGCGCGGATCAGACCATGATTCCCCCCACATGACTGAGAGCAGAGTAGATTCCGCATCACGAGGGGGCTTGGCGAGGAGGGGCATCTTCTGACTGTTGTTGCGCGTTTTCGAAAACGCTGCTCTGCACATCAGCTACAGGCGGGTCGACCTATGGACATTGGGGGTGTTTCTTCTCGCCGCGGACTTTCCAGATACCCTGAAAATTTGATGGGTTGCATTTTTCTTGCCGGTACGATTAAGTAGCCTACCTCGCGGTGAGGTAACTGTAATGATCTCCGATGGCGTGATGGGGTTTCCTGTTTCATGGCTCAGGCGTGCATGTGGTGGCGCAGCTCTTTTCGTCGCGACCATTGCCGGCGTTACCACTCGCGTGTTTAGCGTGGTCTTGAACCCTTGCGCGAGGATTTCAAGCGATTTTTGTAAGGCACAACATCCCATACCGGCAGCCGTGGCAAGTCGTACCTTTTGATGGGCAGCTGGGTCACTTCCGTGTGTGCCCTTGTTATGGGTCTCGAAGCGTTTCCTTATTTAGTTGCTAGCTCGGCTTGCTCGACCACGTGGGGTTTTGAACGTTTTGTTTTGCTATTCCGCCGCCGCTGTTCCTTTCGTGATCTCCCGGAAAGGCTTCTTGACGAGGACCACATAGCGTACACAACAAGCAAACTACGATTTCAGGGCTGTCACCGATTTATCTCGACGGACGCTCTTGCCTCTCCGTTCTGAACCCACCCGCCCGTTCGAACCCCGCCCCGCGCGTCTCTTCCCTTCGTCCTTGGCGGTGCCGCTCGTTTCAGCGGACAAGCCGTGCGACTTTCTGTTGCCAACGGGTGACAGCAGCGAGGAAGGCGACACGCTGGCGGCGCCGGCAAGGGCGGCAGCAGGAAGCGGCGGCGGGGAGTGGGGGTCGTTGGTCAAAGCGTTAACCCTGGCGGCGTTGTTGGCGTACGCGTGGGCCCTCTTCTTCGACCGGCCGGCGGTGTTCGGAAAGAAGGGAGAACCCTCGGCCGCGGGATCAGGCAGGATGCCTGCGGAGGAGAAGAGTGTTACTCCTCACACTAGGGTGGCGTTGCCTGCCAAGCGTGAGAAACTCGCGGTGATTTTACGGGAGGAGTCTGTCGGGGTCCCCGCAGTGGTGACCTCGGGAGCGGTGCCCCATGCCCATGCCGACGGTGAGAAGGCGGGCCCGGATGGGAGAGACGCCAAGGATCTGCGAGGGCCTAGCGGAGACGTACACCGCGAGGACGTGCCCATGGCAGAGGGTGGTGACGGCGAGGTCGTGCCTGGCCGAGGAGAGTTGGGGGGCGCGACGGCGGAAAAGGAAGACCCCTCGCCTGCACCGGCACGCGAGACGCCCAGGGAAGAATGCGGGGGACTCGTAGAACGGGCGGAAGTTCCGCCCGCGTCGTCGGGTTCTCGCGAAGAGCCCGACACCAGCTTTCTCGACGGAGAGGTGGAGGGAGCGATTTCAAGCGGAGGGAGTGTGGAGGTGACGAATAGCGGGCCAACGGCAGTGGCGAGTACGGTCGGCGGGGAGGCGGGAGATTGCGGCGCAGCAGCGGTCGAAGACGCGATTAGCGGAGGGGTCGCGGACACGGGGGCGGGCGAGGTAGAGCCGGCGACCGCGGTGGGGAGAAGCGACACGATCGTTAGCGGGGACAGCGCCGGAAGTGGACAATTGGTCACCGCTGGAGTGCGTTCAGTATCGGACGCAGACAGAGCTGCGATTGCTGTAGCACCAGCTGTGTTTAACGTGGGTAACGCAGAGCTGCCGCGTGGCAGCATCTCTAGCGGAGAGGTATGGTCAACGCCACTGCCCGTTGAAGGAACTTCGAGTGGTGAAGACAGCTGTGAAATACTGGTAAAAGAGTGAGAAAGAACAACACGGGACATGCGAGTGCAGCCCTCCCCTTGAACAGAGTTGCTATTGATAGTGCCCGTGGAAACGGTGAAGTTTGAAATTTGCACGCTGATTCAGAGTAGCAGGCGGGCTGAAGCTGCGATAGCCGTATGCTTGTGGCTGGTGGCTCAAGTATCCCCGAGTGTGGACAATGATGTGTGTGACGCAGGAATAGATAGATATATCTAGATGGATAGATTGCGGTACGCCGCGAACACAGTGCTTTAGTGGAGAATCTGGTCTCGGAAGGAAATGCCAAGCGTGTTGTTCGCGCTAGAAGCAGGGCAGAAACATGCTCGAGAGACCTATCCCGGCCAGATGGTGGTTGTAACGATAGCAGTCGTGTATGGCTAATAGAGTTGCGTTTGTGTTGCCACCGACAGATGAAAGGGTCAGTAATTAATTAGCAAGTGGATCTTTTGCTCTATCCTATGTTTTCTTATTGGTTGACATCGGCGCAGCTGAATTTTGATTGGCAGATGGTATGCATATTTGGTCGGTGGGTGACGCCGGCCGGGGTAGAGACTCCACCATGCTGAGAGAGATCGGTCAATACAGGACTCTGGTTCTTTCTTCTCGCTCTTTCTCCTCATGATGGCTGTCAACATGAACCTAGTTTTTTTGTGCCCTGGTCTTCTAAACGAAGCGCTCTAAGTGAGCAACATGCGTGAGTCGGCGTGTGTTCTTTTAGTAGTGTGGAAAAACGGATATTATTTTTGTGGGCAGGATGTTTGGAGTGACCAAGGCACATGTCTTGGTGTGCTCGTGCTTGTCGCAACCAGCTAGCGACCGCGGCTGCACGACGTCAGGTGTTTTTCGTCGCGATTTTGAATTTTACCGAATGGTTTTTTCCCTCCCGGACCAAGCACAAGTTCCCCATCTACCGCCGGTCATTGCTTATGAGGAAAAAGACTACCCGTTCGAGATGTACCCACGGTCGAACGGGATGTGGTGGAGTCTTGTCTTGTTTGCATGGAGCGCTCTGTGCATTATACCCGTAGGTAAATGCAAGACGAAGACAATATCCCTTTGGTCCTTCGTGCTGGACGTGGAAATGTACCAGAGAAAGTGCTGAAACAGAGGCTGATCAGCATCCACCCTCTTGCGTGTGCCTATACTTGCCGCGAGATGACTTTCGCGCGCTTCAAAAGCGAAGCATCCGAGCTTACTTGGAGACATGGAAGGACGCCTTCGGTGTCTTATTTTTTTACTGTTTTTTTCGATTTTTCCGGTTTCAGCTCTCGAAACTCGAAATACTTGAAAGCTTATTCCCCGCCTCCATGACCGGCAGAACCTGCTTTCGTGAGCGACCGCAACAAGCAAGTGGCTTCAGAGCCCTCACCTAAAAAAACCAACCATGCTCGACGTTTCTTTTTTCCTCGATCCGAACAAACATTTACCCAAACCGAGGTTGTGGACTTACAACAACAGTAAGCAAGAAAATCGCGAGAACAGCACGATTATTCCAACACAACCCGTTTAGGTCCCCAGATTTCCCCGTTTTCGCGTGCTCGCTCTTCACATCCGCTCGTCTTGCAAAAGCTCCACTAGCGCACGTACACGTGGACGAAGACAACCAGCGTGGCCCCGCCACAAAATGAATCCTCCACGTCGAAAGTCCTAAATATCATCGAACTCCATACTGCTGCTGCTGTACATTCTATACGGCCCCCCACGGCCCCTTTTTCCACAAAAAATACACGCTACAGCTCCCGTGCTTTTTCACGAGACCCCACAGCCAGTTGAGCCAGGTGTTTTTCCGTCATTGTACAACCCCAATTTATCACGCACAAGCAACAACACGTCCGCGCCAAGATACTGCGGAGTAAATCAAGCGTCCAGCCTCCGCGCGCGTTCACCGTCTACACATCCCGCCGTAGTTGTTGCAAGTAGCAGTCTCATTACATGCGCGCACCGGGGTCGAACAAGCGCTTTTCACTCCCAACTTATCGCTCCTTGTGAGAGCACAACGTGCGATATCAAGGCAACATCCCTACCCATTCGTCACATTTTCGTCACATCTTGGCTGTGTCCTGTCGAACATCGCCGGCATATTCAACGAGAACCCAAATCGTTTCACTCGCCATCGTCGAGTAGCAAAGCGTGCGACTTTTCGTTGGCGTGTCCTCTCGTCAGCCCGGACTTTTCGAAGACCACTAAAAGCCAAACGCGACCGATTCGGTCGGACCTACAAAAGCNGTTGCCAATTTCTGTGACGCCGTAGAGCAAGTACCATTGGGATCAACAAGCCCGTCTACCCAAAAGATGGATCAGCAGCTATTCATGACATACCGTACACGACACAAGATAACACACCCCCTGGACCCCCCCCCCCCCCCCCCCACTCCCGCCGCAGTGTTATTCATTGCCCGCTGTATTTCCTCGCGGTTGGCGAAAAAAATACCAAGGCAACATTGCAAATATTGACACTGCTGTTTTTTCTTCGACTTAAATAGTCGATCGCCTTCGACGGTGGTTCACTTGAAATACATCTTTACATGGTTCAATACACAGCACAATGCAACGTTCCCCGTCCCATCCGTGCGGCTGCCGAATGCGCGTTTCGGCGACTGGTCGTTCGCTGCTGACTTGTGGGACACCAAATCACCCCATCACACAATACATCCATCACTCATTTTTGTTTTCGTTCCGTGTGAACTGCGTGCGTCTCCCCCGTTACCTCCCCGAAAAAAGGAAACCCGAGGGACCAAATGGAACGAAACACTTGGGAGGAAAGACTGCTGGAAATAGTCTGACGTTAGCAGAATTCACGACATGTAGACCAACAATCACACCCGTCTCTAAAGTTTTTTTCAACGCCTACTCAACTTCAGACCCGGTTTCCCGGAGAGGCGAGAATTCTACCGAAAGACGAAAGGAGAGGGGTAATGTCCGTCGTCTGTTGGAGGGAGCCGTCTCCCGTAAGGAAAGCTTCGAGAGCAGCTTTTACTCTACAACGCCCTCCTGCGCTCCGCGAGAATCGCGTCGAGTTCTCGCCAGGTCTCGGTGACGAACAGCCCGTGGCGGGCCAGCCCCTTCAGCCTTAGCTCCACCTCCCTCCTGGCCTCTGGGTCCTTGACGGCGGCTGTCCGGGGGTACAGCTCTCTGCACGAAGAAAATAGAGGTAGACAGGATCGGGCATTGGCAGGTCCGTGTGAGACTCATGCATGCTACCGTACTCCGCACGTGGGAAGGGGGAAGGGACACGTAAGAAGAGTTTGTGTGCGAGACTCATGTATGTTATCGCACTCCGTACGTGAGATGTGAGTCCGGTTGCGTCGGAAACACGGAAGGTGTACCAACAGTACGGACCGTCTTGGAAATTGTATTACGAAGTACTTATCTATGGAATAGAGCGGGGCTTTTCGTATCCCGAACCCGAACCCCCAACCCCACCGCGTACCGCCAACTAAAACCAAGATTAAATAACATCGCGCGGCTACTTGTCAACACTACGATGGCACTACGATGGCTTCTGCGGGAGCAACATACGTAGGGAAGGTCGTCCCAGGCCAGGAAAGGCTGAACATGTCCATCGGTTACGCCAGGTTGGTGGACATGGAATGTTTGATCATGTTTCCCCCCGTGCGTTGCGGCATCACGAGGGGCGGGAGGAGCGCTGACGCGGGAGGAGCGCTGAGGCGCCCTCAAGGATAGGATTATCTGCTGTAGGCGATTGTGAGTGATCCGCGTGCTCGAGATGAGAATGCCGTGGAGAGGGTAAACGGGGTGTCCTTTGGTCTTGGATACCACTCGTGTCCAATCTTGCTGCAGGTCGTGACTTGGTTGACACCACCCACTCATTTCGCGGCACGTCGGGCGGTGGCGGCATACGTGAGAACCAGGTATGATGTTCTGGGGTGGACATTTTCTGTACGGTAATATTTAGTGAAAGAGAAAACCAGCTTCATGTTGATGAATACCAACATTTGTACAAGGAATGGTCAATGATTTCTTCGTGAAGCAGTCAATTTTTTCTCGTTTTGCCCGACACCCGACATTTTGTACCAAGTACCCCCTCTGCAGTCCTCCAGTGGTATGATACGAGGTTTGCGTTGGCGTGAAATCGAGATGTTAGGATTGATGAGTGAGCAAGAGAAGAAGAAGGGTGGGCATGCTGAGGTACAGCAGCGTACTGATCTCTAAGTCAAACGGCGTGTTGGAAAACAGGACAAAAAAACACCGACGACATACACTGGTTTTCCAGTGTAGCCTGTGGGCTGCTTGCCTGATGCGGAGAGTCTCAGCGCTTCCCCTAAACAAGGAGTCCTGGCCAAAAACACCAACAACACTCCCGTCGACTTTTGGGCAGGTTTCAACGATGGAACACTCTGCCATGGGGATAGGTCTTCGGCAGGGGGGGTCGGAATATCGGAATACGACAGATGGGGGAGACCATAGACGGGCGCACAGCTGCAGGGGCCGACAATTTGGACGAATCTGTGAGAGGAACGATGCAAATCTCTGGGATGAGCAGCTGCTGCCTCCAATATACCGAAACCTTATTGGAAGCACATTGTACGCCCCCCCCGCCGACGAAGCGCATTATGGTCAGGTAGAGAGGATGGGGTGGGGTTCTTGGGGGGGAGAGCGGGTTGGGTGGGGAAAGGGCGAGATTCTACACAAAAAGAGCTACAGGGAACAATCGCTAATGGTCGGCACCATACGCCGCTTCAACATCATGTGTCGAAATCGAAATAGAGCTTGCCTTTCAACCCTTATTATTCCTTGACGACACTCACTCGATCGTGGCGTTGATGCGCTGAACCCGGGCGGCGAGGTAGGCCTGCTGCTGCTGAGCCTGCTCGAGCTGAACCTGGGGGCGAGGGAGTCTGCCGCTGAGCTTGCTGGAGCCTTGCAGTATCGCTCGTCCTCCGCTGCTCATCACCGACAAGTTGCTGAGAGACATCGTCCGACGCTGTCCACACTGGGGTTGTATGCTGACGCGTGTATCTCCTGGCTATCTGTGCCTCGTTCTTCAGAAAAGGGCCGGGGTCAACGTCGTGTGGGGATTGAAAACGAGGGAGCTGCTCGTGGGGCGAAGAGCGAAGATGAATTTGTTGTGTATGTCGGTATGATGCGGCGACGAGCCGAGGTGACGTATATGCCCGAAGTCGAGGAGGCGTTATCATGTCGATGGGAGAACGGGAAACCGGGGTTGTTTGAGTGTTTGTTGTTGTTGTTGTGATTGTGTGGGGTGTGCATATCACACGCTACATAGCGCATGATCTGCACGGCAGTGCTTCGAACAGGGTGCACCGGCACGAGTCAGGCTGTGTCTCCGTAATACCGACCGTGTCATGGTATCGTTGAGGCCGTGACGCATTGAACTCTTAGCAGTTTCTTGTCAGTGTATCAACCTTGTCGACCTTCTTCGGTCCAGCCAAGAAGACGTCCGAGTCACACACTCAGACCGCTTCAATCCCAGAGTCCCAAATTGTCATCATCTCGCTCCTCTATTTTTCTCGTTGCGCTTCCTCCCCTCACAAGCATAATCACAACGAGCACCTTTTCGTACCACGCCAGCAACCGCAGCCGAATAGCTACACTACTGGTGTTGAGTTCTTCAGGGGTTCTTCCACCCCAAAATAGATTCCTTTCCTGTAACAGAGATGGATTCGTTGTGTGGGAATCGGTGCGCCGTGCCGGATGCCGGGTGTGTGTGCTCTTTTATGGAATTGTTAAGTCGTCCTCTCGTTCAAGTCGATGTTCAGAGTATGTACGTAGCCGCGCATGAATCATAAACTACGCCGTCTGCGTCTCTATATCGGTTGGTTCACTCAGATACTCAGATGCAGATGACGGCGGCCCCCGTTACTTGCACATCGACCGACACATACAGTTCGAGACAAACAACCAATCAGATTCGGGCCGTTTCTTGTACACCGACCGACACATTCAGCGAGTCAACCAATCAAACGTTCCGGTCGATCCGTCCTATCGCTCGATACGCCTCGTCACCTCGCGGTATGCCCCGTCACCTGTAGAGCAAGACCAACCGCCCCGGTACGGTGATGTAGTGGTGCTACATCAACTTGTGCTGTGAATAGATTGCAAGGTTGGATGACCCATTCAGACAACAGCGACCTCCGTGGCTACGATGTGAAGGCGAAATCAGGATTGTGTTGCATCCTATGTACATGTGGTTGCTGCTTGCTGTTTGGAATTATAATTGTGGTACGTTAATGGCGTTTACATCGTTGCTACGGGGGTTTGTGCGCCAGCCAGCTGATGGTGAAGAAGAAGCATATTCACCTCGCCTTGCACATGCAGCAGCCGCAACACTTGCGATCGAATCATAGCGTGTCGTGACGCGCATGACGAATCGCGCGAGCGACAAATTATATCGTCGCCGCCTTCAGCAGCTGGTCCCAAACATCACGTGCACAGCGAGCTGTTGTTTGTAATTTCGAGAACTTTCCAGAAAAAAAGCTGAAACAAGTTATCGATATTTGTGCGACCTTTTCGCATCTTGTGTACCAGGTGTGAACACGACCTGCGCATGTATATGGAGGGGCGCAAAGTCGTACTCTACAGGCCTCAACAAACGCACAGGCGGAAGCCTGTTGTGCCATGTAGCTGTAGCTCCTAAACCATCAAGGAGCACGCCGGAGCTCCCCACGTTTGCGGACTTGAACAAGCCTGCTTGCGAACAACGAATAGCCCGGCAGAAAAGTATGCGTTCGAATCAAAACAAAAAAAAAACACTACAATAAAAAAAACAGAAGGGAAAAGACTGAGGGCTTCCATCCCGGTGTCACTACGCTCACTTGGCGCCAACCAGGAACATTGCTGCAACCGAACAACAGCTACACTCCTGACGTACAAGTCTCTAGAAGACACGTCCAAGCTCTTCTCGCCTTCTTGCTGGCCGGATACACGCCCACCAACAACAAGCAGCCAGCGCAATCAAGGTGTGTGGGGAAAAAAAGGTGTTCTTAATTTTTCTATTAGCCGGGTCCACCAGATAACGAGTATGGTCAGAATGGGTGCACCAGCTGGTGCCGCTGCTCTTTCATGCATCACCATGGTGCGGCCTCGTCCTCGTTATAGCTTATGTGCACCCTCCGCCCGTTATGGAGCACTCGGAACGCTCCTTGGCGTCTTTGTTCCAACAATCTGCTTTACCCCTTCGTGCCGCTCAAAACTCCCAACTGCCCGGCCGGCTGCTGTTTTTCCTGGTGCTCTGATGGGAGATAAAGCTCATATGGGTAGAACACATGTAGAACATACAACGCATCCTGGCGGCGCCGCTCTTGCACGCCACCGGCAGCGGCGCCAAGTCCTGGAGTGGGTTCAGGGATTTACGCGACCGCACGTCCAATCTCTTCGCTGCCTGTTTCGTTGGCTCTCGGGGCTGTGTTTCGGGCTCTGTGCGCGTTTGCTTTTTGACAGGCCGACGGCGGCGGCGGCTTTGTCGAGCGAAGACGAAATTCGAGTAGCGGAGACGGAACGCGCGGGGATTTGCGGCAGAGAGACAGCAGACACCTGTCTACCTGTATAGATCGCCATCATCACCGCTGATAGCAGCGGCGACACTGAAATGGTGCCCGGGGCTGGTGTGGTCCGCCACGGGAAGCGAAAGGCGGAGCACGAGCGCAACGCCTCGGCCTCCAAGAAGGTGATGGAGGCGTACTACGGCCACGCCGGTCACGCCGGCGTGGTTGCCGGAGGCGGCCGCTCGTCTGGGGGTGACAACAGCGGGGAAGAGGCAACTGACGACGAGAGCGAATTTTCCTCGGTGGACGGCAGAACATCCCCCGCGCAGCAACCGGGCACCTGGGGGGCGGCACCCCGTCCCCAGCCGGGGATGGGGGTGCGCTTCAGCCCGGAGGCTCACGGCCCCGCGGCAGCCGCGGCAGCGGCGGGCTTCAACAACGTGCCGGCGGCGCACGCTTTACAGCAGCAGATGGTGGGCGGCGGTTCTACTCTAGGATCGGCTGGAGCCAGCAACTGCAACGGCTGGTCCGCATACGGGGGAGTCGGTGGCGGTGGTGGTAGTGGTGATGGTGGGCACAGCAGCAGGCAACAACAGCAGCAGCAGGCGCAGCTGGAACACCAATATCGCCAACAGCAACTGCTGATGTACCAGCAGCAGCAGCAACAGCAGGTAGATGCAAGGAAGGCGTCCAGGGGCGGAGGACGTCCCGAAGGAGATGAGTGGGGCTGGTTTGTAGACGCGGGGGAGCAGGAGCAGCAGCAAGCACATCCAGGGCAGTGGGGGGTAAGACGATCAGCTCGCTGACACAAGGAGACCCGGGTTCGGAATAGTCTAAACTACCAGTGTACTCTTTGTGTTTTTTCTTCTCTTGGGATTAGGGGTATGCTGTACCGTTCACTCGCCGGTGTTGCGCGCGAGCATTTATCTTGCTGCTGATGTGTCGTCGTCCGCCACAACTTGTCGGCCAGGGGCAAAAGGCAAAAGTAAGGTTGGCATTTACGTATTCTAGACCACCACCGCGGGTTCAGTGGACACCGACTCCTTTGACATGATTTGTGTTATTTTGGGTTTATGTCGTTTTTTTTTTGTGTCGCGCGGTGCTCTCTCCCTCCTGGTTTTGCTCTCTTCGTTGTCTTCTGTATTTTCCGTACAGCGCAGTCCCTTCGCGCCTTGTTGTTGTCCATCCCTGTGTCGTTTGTTTTTACCTAACCCCCCTTTACGAACGAAACCCTGCGCCTGCGCCAAGTCCTGCAAGAATTACTTTGAAGTGAGAATTAAGTAGGAACTCGAGGGTTTTTTGTTCGCGAGTGGCATCGTGTCCTCGCACGTCTCCTGCTTCACAGCAGCAGGGCCCGCTGTTACACACAGCATTTATTGTGTGCGTACCGCCCTGGTAGGCCACTGATGTGTGTCCCGCCCGCTGCGGCGTTTCATGGTTCGTTCTTAAGTTTTAAGAAGATACCACACACCCTGGACCGATTCTTCGAAGCTGGCAGGAAAAAATCAGTGACGGTGCCGACAATGGCGGCGTTGGAACCGTTTCGTCGAGAGCTGTCCGAAAACGATTCCTTTGATTTCGGCACCCTCGTCGCCGTTGAGTATTCGAGCTTCGAAAATCGGTCAAGGGGGTGTGATATCTTACGCATCCTACGGTATGCTATGCGTCGTACGAGTGTTTTCTTCGTGTTTTTTAGTCCCGACACGTGGCTTCACGTATGTATGTATGCCTCGTGTGCTCGCGCACCAGCGGGAAGAATAAGCAGCACTGGTTTCGGGTGTGTTGAATGTCTTAGCCCCTCCCTCTCCCGCCGCCTGACTTCTTCCACGGTCCTCGACCACGTCGTGCTTTGGGTGAGACTTTTTTCCCATTAAAAATTTTCGTTACAAGGTATTCCGAAGGCGCTGGGGGGTTAGACCACATGTTTTCACCACATGTTTAGGCCTGTGATGCGACTTTGGGTGCATGCGCTTTTGGGGTAAAAGGTTGATGAGCATTAGCTTGTACCAGTGTGTCCTGCTTTGTAATGATGTATAAAAAGGGGAGGTTGCCGGATGTTCAGTGACAGGTGTACCTCTCGACGGCGCTTCAATTGCCTGCTGTCGGTTGAGAACCAGTTATTACACGCATTATTGTGTATTCGAGGCAGGAGAGTAGGTGCACAAGAGTGCTAGGCAACAAGCAACGTCTGCCGGCTTGAGGCACGAAGGGCAGCTTGTTTATTACCGCAGGTAAACCCTCTGCAGTAGGTAAGCCTTGTGTTGTGTCGAGACTAGGGCATGGTGGTGTTGATGTGAAGGTTTGTAGTGTTACGTTTGGGTTAGTTTTGGGGTTGGGTGATCTATCTACCTGTGTATCTCGGTACGAAGCACTCGAGTTTTCATGTTGATATGCATGGCACGCTAGCGTATCTCGCAGCGCGGCCGGCTTCGGTTGGTTTTTCAAGCAGGCAGCCGCGCGCGGCGGGCGGAGAGAGGGGGCACCGTAGGTGGTACCAATAGGTATATATAGGTATCACATCACGTCGATGTCTGGGTGTCGGTTGTATTCCCTTGAGCCGGCAGAGGAAATGCTTCTTCCGCTGCCAGTATGATTGTGGGTCACGAAGGTAATCTGACATTTGTATCATCGACAAAACCGCCTGCCTCAATCCGTGGCCGGGTGAGTGGTCTTATCGTGACGATATTTTACACAAATCATGACGAACGGCAGCCTTTTTGACACAACAAGGGGAGAAAAGGCGGTTTTTCATGCGTAGCAGGGGGGGGGGCAACGGGAGCTGAGCTAGTGTGTACGTTTCCTTACAGGAGTAGAAGCTCGTCCAGAGCCTTGACGTGGATTATCGTGGTGACTACAGGAGTGAGAGTATTCGATTGCATGTCCGGGGTGCGTGTGGAATGAGTGTACCATAGAGCACCAACAAAAGGAAACGAGGGGGGAACAGTTAGAGCAGTTTTTTTTCATGGGTTGCCTCTGCGCATCCAGGCAGAGAGAGAGAGAGTGCGAGTCATAGGTGTTTTGGTGGAGATAGGTGAGCAAGAGAGGTAGCTAAGTCAGCAAACACATGAGAGTTTCAGGTGCGGTGGGTTGGTGCAGGTGGTTGCGCGCCACCACTTTCTGCGCTTTTCTGTGATAGCGGGCAAGGTTGGGTTGATGAGGGTTTGTTGGGCTGGCAAGTTCGGCAACCAACCACTGTGTAGGTGATTGGGATACAGGCAGGCCTCCAGCCGATATTCATGTGTTTTTTTAGGGGGAAGCGTTGAGTCTTCTTGTTTTCTTTTCTTTGTGGGTTCGAGGGTTGATAGTATCACAACGCGCGCTGGTGTATTTGATACGGCACCGTCCGGTTGGTTTGTGGGATAGGGGATGATGTGGCTTTGAGAAACGAGTGACTACCGTCAATTATGCGATTTTGACGCTCCCGTTTGCGAGGAGTTATATTTTTTCCCGTGTTCTATGGTGTTTTGTCTGGTGCTTCCTTGTGTGTGTCCCTTTCATGTTGACTAGGGGAACGACTTCTTCGGTAGTTTCTGCTGGACTTGTTCTTGGGAGGCGTTTTGCTCGTTTTTTTTATTCAACGTGCGGCGTCAAAAAAAAGCCGAAGAACTGTCTTCTGTAAAAAGGAAAAACACGGTTTGGTTTCATGTGCGAGTGGGTGTGCCGTGTGTGCTTTCCCGTTGACCAATCATCGCGAGGTTGCCCCGAAAATCTGCGCTTGCTTGCCTCGTCTGCAGCCTTCACGTGATAACGCGGTGGCACAAAGAGAAGGAAACTACAATATATAGCTCATTCCAAGGGTCCTCAAAATGCCGTAGCGTGATGAATGTGGCCAACCTATGTGACCTCTTCGAGAGAAGCGAGTGATGGCTCTCCGCTGGCGGTACACAAGATGGGGCGGCGGTGCCACATGTGGGTGTCCGAGCGCACCCTGCCGACGGATACAATCCTGGCATTTTTATCTGGGTAGACAACAGTGGGAAAACCTTTTGTGTACTTGCGCTCGGCAGAGATCTATGATGTGAAAATCGAAATCGCGGAATCCTTAGCCAATGATTTTTTTCTGGGTGCTCGAAAAACCAATCCCCGACTTATTGTCTAGGTGGGTCCAAGGACGCATCTTGGATGGCGGGAAGGGACTGAAAGATTGTATTCCATCGTTGCTCAAAACAGGTCTCAAAGGACCATGACGTCGAAGTGTTTCCGTCCTATTGGGATTGTAGGGCAACCCTCCCGCGGCGTGACCTGACATTTTCTTTCATGATCTCAACGGCTGAACTCCGTATTTTTCGGGAAAGCCCCCAATGCGTGCAAAGGACCCTCTGTGCCGAGGTCGCATGAGCGAAGCGTGTTATTGAATATCCGAAGAGCGGGTGGGGTTACGAAGGGTTCCGTGTGTTGCAGGATATGAGCAGCAGAGAGTGGCTTAACGGACTTCAACCACCCGCATGTTGAGTTGAGCGTCGAGACACCTCGTGTCGGACGATGGCTGACAGCAGTGATTACGGGAGTCTCCTCTCACCGCACCGCAAAAAAAAAAAACTTGGTTTGAATTTCGTAAGCGCTACACGCGAACCACCATGGGCGGGGCCCTCAAGCACCGGTACTCCGTCTCATTGGTCTTACCGACAATACTGTACAACCACACCAACCAATGAACGGAGGAGGCTTTAGGAGCAGCGTTGGAGACACAGCATTCCTTGCTCCTTGATCGCAGCCACGAAAGAAAGCCACCCTCGGAGAACTCATGTTCGGGAAGTCCTGACTGAGTGGGGACTTTTAAAATCAAATTCAAGCCAGCGGAATACACATCAAATTTGCCGCCACATTTTCAACAGTTGGCAACACTTTAATAACGAACCATGCAGCAAAAAAAAACAAAAAATACTATCTTGCAAGAATGCGGGTGACAAAAACTGTATCGAAAAAGAACCTACAAGACTTGTGCCACCCGCGCAAAACATGCACAACGGCAATAAAAAGTGGGATACAGAATCAAGTCGAGGGAAACCAAACCAACATCGAATATCAAGGAATTGACCACGTCTACAGGAAACCAAGACATGGGAAAAGCAGGGTACGGCAATAAAAAAGGCCGGATCGATGCACCTCCCCGCCCTCCCCTCATATATACCCCGCGTGGGGTGGGGGGGGGGAACAAGCCATGAGTTCCAAAGAGCTCTTCTCCTCGTTGGCCAATGCGATAGCCCTTCGCCGCACCCGCCAATCCCAAACGCCAAATACCTGCGAGTGTCCGCGGCTTGAGAAGGGGGAACTTTTCGAAAAAACACACACAGATGTCTCTAGCTGCACTACCTGTCTATCGGCAGGCTTGCTCGATGCAGTAGCCCTTCGCCGCACCCGCTAACCATATATCTACTGCTTTAGTATCGGCGGCTTGGAAGAAAGGGGGAAAGTTTCGAAAACAAAACAAAACAAAACAAAACAAAACACACACATGTCTCGAGCTGCACTCCCTGTCTAGCGGCGGCCGTGCTCGGCGAAATAGCACGAGCAACACGACGACACCGACCAGGTTCCTGGCCAGTTTGTTTTCATCCTATTTATTATGGCGACAGTTCCCCCATTTTCCCTGGTGAGACGTGTACCACACTTTTCAGTGTATGTACAGTACTACACTTTCGTATATGGCTAGTACTAGTGGCATTTCTGGCCACCAGGCACCCGCGCTACATGTAAGCCCTTCTAGCCTCACGCCCGTCTTTGCCAATACGAAGAGGGCTGTACAGCTACACACCGGGCACCCTCGTTTAGCACACCAAAAATACTTAGCCTTGAACGCTGCTGTTTTGAGTGCAAAATTAGGTCCACACCCATCACGCCTACCTAAATATCATGGCAGCGCCCCTCTGAAGAGTTGGGCTTAACGCCTTCGCCTTGGGGAGGAGGGCTTCGTCTACCCTACACAAGACACAGGAGTAACCATGCCCACCAAGTACCAGTATGGTAGTGGCATGCCCAAGAGAGAAGGCGTCATCTAACATCACAGGTCCCCATCGTGCTGCCCTGTTCCTCCTTTCGCCATCGCTGCAGTTCGACGAGGGAGCGGTAGTTCGCGCACATGGTGGCGGCCGCTGCTCGCATGCGCGGGTCGCTTCCCTCCTCTTTCAACTCGAGGTCCATCCCTTGTTCATACTCCTGAATAGGCGGATTTCAACGATTCGGCGCAGCGATGGACACGGACGAGAAACAATCAAAACGGTGGCACCGCTAACATGGACATCAAGACATAGTACCCACAAAAAAGCGTGGGGCCAAAATGTGAGATTGTTCTCCTTGCTTTTGTCGGTTGAAGCTCCACCAACCGGAACTGAAAAGAGAAATAGTAGCCGGCGAGGGTGTACTACTGTCGTGAAGCACACTGGCATCTGACACATGGTCTAACGGTTGGCAGGTCGACCGCGGTCACCACCACGCTTGTTTCGCGCAGAAACCGCAGCTTCTGCAAGCATGTCGCCATAAGCTCTTTACACAACGCACATGAGAAACCGCAGCCTGCGACACTACTAGCTCTCGTACAAGGCACGCGTGAGTCCGCCTAAGAGAGGGCAGGCTGCGTAAAACATTCCGAGAAGGCAACCAGACCTAACTCCAGTGAGCACGGCAGCGGCGGCAGTTATGTACTAGCCTTAGAGACGGCGCCTTCGGCAGGCGTTGCCATGCCCTTCGAGTACACGTGAGTCACTGGCTCCATCCAGAGCTTGAACTCCGAACGCTCCTCCTCGGTCTCAGCCATGCCCAAGTGCTCCGGGTACACGTACTCCGTCATGACCTTCATCGCGCGCGGCGGGGGGCAGGGGGGTTACGGCAAATCCACGTACAACAGAGCGCCCACCCTCCACGGCCTGAGCCAAGAAAGAGGTACATCTCCACTCAGTGGCTGGTCAAGTACGAATCACCAATTCAGCGCTGCCTTGGGCGCAATACAGCGCCCGTACATCAGTCCGTCTCAGGGGTGGGGCTGGGTACAATCAGACTTTGCTCTCCCGACAATGTGCCGGGTTTTCGTTGACTACGTGACTGTCCACAGCAGCAGCAGCACTAGCAGTTGCGCGCACGTATGGTTGCATGGTGCGTGTATGGAATACTGCACGCGGCTAGGTACTCGATGTGTGTGTGCGTGTGTTTTCTACGGAACGACGTCGCAAGCTCGAATCTTGTGTGCGGAGAGTGTCGACCATGTAGCCGGACCTACTGCCGCAAATTCTGGCTGGATCCGCAAGCTGATACAATCAGCTCCACACACCAGAGGCCGACATGTCAATCGGGTTGTGAATAAATCCTGCTGAGCCGACCACATCCTGACATTTGTGCTAACTTCCATGCACAGCACCCGCTACGACATTATTCCTCAATATGCAGCCCCGACCAAATATACTGAGAGAGGCGCTACTGTAACTCTGCGTGCCGAAAGCTAATCGGGCGCAAGCCCTAGGTGTTTACGATATGCGGTGTCGACGTTGAGGACAGCGCCATGAAGCCCGCGTAATCACAAGGTTTGTTCTCCCAACACACATGTGGGATGCACACAAAATACACGGAAACACAAAATGCACGGCAGGACGTCATGTCTGGATGGCAGTGCAAACGAAACGGATTCTTATCCTTATCCCACTCCCGAACAAAACAACAAAGCGACCACCACCAGAAGGTCGATTTCCGCCACAGCACAACTCTTGCAAGCTTACGCCAACATTGCCACACCCTCCTCACCTCCGGTAGCTGTCGATACTCGACGGCCAACCCATTGGGAGAGCCCCCCACGATCTGCGTCAGAGCAATCTCGTTCAACGTCTCCAGGTGCTTAGCGCAAGTAGTAACAAGGCTTTCCTGGCTTGGCAATTTTCTCGACCCGCCGCCCTTTGCGCCCCTTACGCAGGGCCCGCCGAGGTTGTAGACCGCGGGGGACGTGACATTGCGCTCTTGGTTAGCGACCTGTTTTCGCCAGGCTCCCTGTCGTTTGGAATGGGGGAGGCGAGAAGGGTGACGCAGGTACTCTGACGGGGATGTATGCATACGGCCGCGCTGCGGTCTGCTTGCACGGCTGCCAGTTCGAAGTCCGCTTAGCAAAAAAAACAAGCGAGACATCTGTATAGATAATAATCTCTCGGCGTCAGCAATACCGCTAGTTTCTCGTGGACTTTCTTGTGTGTGGAAAAAGGCTATTTCCTTGTTTCGCTTTCGGTAAGCGAAGTGGACACACCAGGGTGACCGTGACAAACCTAACAAGTCCACGCTGGCTGCGTTCACAAAGGTCCGCAGACGGTAAACAAGGATAAGGGGCGGAACACGTGCCAATGCCCTGATGGACTCAGCAGAAGGAATGTGGGAGTGCGATGGGCGAAAGGTCTCGTTTTTCCGGATGATGTGAGAACAAGAAGATGCTACATGTGCGCGCCCATGACGACACGAATATGCAAGAGTGAGAGATGAGCGCAGCGGAACGCAGCAGTAGGACTTGCAGCGAAGACGCCACTAGCCTAAAAGCACACACTCACGCACACGCGAGCAACAGTAGCGAGAACAAAACACACACACACACACACACACACATGGCGGCCTCGTCACGACCCTCACGGGCGGGCAGGCTAAGAACACATAGGTGGCACAATCTATCTCACAGCCTACATCTGGCAGACAGTGCCCTCGACCCTTCGACGGCGGTGGTATCTCCTTCTCTCACGGAATCACAAATCTTTTGTTTGGACAACCGGCGTACAACCTGGATTTCCTGCTACTACTACATAGTACAGCAGTAGTACTACTGCGGCGGCTGCGGATACTGGATTCCTGGACGTGTTCACCTGAAGGAAAAAGCCAAGAGAACCTGCGAGCAGGACTTGGCTCCCTCGTGACTTCCTAGTGGCTCGCTAGGTTCGGACGAGGGTATGTGTGGAGCTATGGCAGTCTATGTATTGATGTTTTGTTTGATTCATCTAGCTGCTGGCACGATGACTGTTGGATCTTGGGAGTGTACGATCATCAAATTGGGAGATGCAGCATACCACGATATCCTGGCTTCGGCTGGGCTTGAAATA